TTCTGCCAACACAGGACACATCACATCTGCTCCTGGTTACCCTGGGGGCTCCTCAGCCGGGAGGGCTGTTCGTAGGGAAAGAGGAGCAAGACTTCTCCACTTTGGGTTGGAGATTTTTACCATTGCCTACAGAATTTCCTTGGGTGAAGTCTAAACACAGCACCCAATTTCTTACTCTCTACCTGCTCCTCTTCCTGCCTGTTCTGGGTTGTTGTTGGTAGTTATTTATACTGTGTAAGAGACCACAGCTGCAGTAAGAGCTAAGCTAACAGCTCCTGCACCAAAGCGATCCGGAATTAACATAGGCAGGACAGACTCAAAGCAGAGCTGCCGATCGTTTCAGGCTCTTCCTGTTAGCTAGACAATCTCTTCCTATCTGAAAACCACTGTTTTAGGACTACAGACCATAGCCTTGCACAAAACTGTGGGGTTAATCCCTCTCCCTAGCCAAGGTTGCCTTTGCCATTGATGATGCGTGTATGTTTTTGCTTGGGAACCTCCTGCGGGTTTTGCTGTAAGGACACGCGCAGATGGTGTGTCAGATTTAGAGGAATGGCAAATTATATGTAGAGAGAATAAGTCAATTCCCCTCTTTACTGTTAATTAGAGATGGGTAGGAAATGTTCTTTATTCCCACAACACCAAGAAGCCCAGCATGTGCTCCCAGTGATGCAACCGAAAGGAGCATTTAACTCTCTATGAAAAAGCTGCAAAAGCCACAGTGGTGCCTTCACCCCTGCCACCCTGCCAACGTCTCTCCCCGTCCACCCTCCACGCTCCAGCACACTGCAGTGGAGCCAACGAAAGCAAAGAGGACCAGGAGGGAGAGCCGAGAGTTGAACTGCTCCTGGGTGGTGCGCTGGCGTGCAAACCTGTTGCCTCCGGTGCCTGGAGCATGTTCACATACAGGCTCTCTCAAACAGCCTTTATTCTGTGCTGATTTTGGTTGTGTCAGTGCAAAGCAGGTTGTTCTCTGCAAGATGGAAGCAGCAAGTCTGTGCTATTGGCATATCTGAGCAGGGAGAACAACAGGGAAATACCGGTAGGGTGCTTGTTAAAGCACACGATGGTTGGTGTTTCTTTAGCTGTCTTGACGTGAAGCCTTCGGCTCTAATCCTGGCTAGGGTAGGTGCATGAGGAAACAACGTGGGTCTTGAAATGCCGAGGTAGCCTCAGTGGACCCTGAAATCACTGTTACGGCTGACTCCCCACAACACCGTCTGACCTGGCAGAGTGGCACAAGCACTAACTCCACTCTGACTCGCTCGTTTTCCGGGTGGAAGTAGGCAAGCTTTAGGCTATGGATGTGTAGTTTGGGGTTCATTAAGGGCTATCGCTTGCTTTTGAAGGCTCTCTCTCCCATCAGGGCTCACCAAAGCTCCAGGGGTTTCTTGTCACTGGACACGTTGCTGAAGGAAGCAGGTAACCAACACTAAGGCAGGCTGAAGAGTCACTCTCGGCTGCGTCGCATGAATATCTCATCCTTGTAATCTAGATTACTGCAGTGCGTCATGTTAAACGATGGTCTTTGGAGCTGGCTCGGATGAGTGTTGCTGACAGCTTCTCTCCTCTGAGCAGTTGCGAGGGGCTGTCATGCCATTTGTACTGCTAGATAGTGTTGTTCATTGCAAACATGTCACGGTGACTCAAGACTCTGCACAGTCTGAAGCTTGTCGCAACACGCCTTCATCTTCCTGAACATGTTGTGCCGTTACGATGACATATTAGCGGGCAGGAAAGCAAAAGGCCAGGTAGCAGGAACTGTGAAGGGGCCTGGAGCTGTGCTGATATCACCACCCCTTCTGCCTTCCTCTGTCCATGAGACGCTCTCTCAGCGCCTGGAGATGGAGTCCAACTAGCCCAAGCCCAAAGTCTGAATCAGCGAGACCTGCTTGTCTCTCAGGGACCTGAAATTGCAGCTGACCCCCAGTCTCCACGCACTGCTGATTAGTGAGTGAAATGCACACTGCCCTAGTTCAGTGGCTGAAATGTGTTTTCCTGGTGCCATGAAGGCCCCTGCGAAGTTTCAACCCCTTTCATTCCTTGTTAATGCAAGTTCTAGTACAAGAGCACCGAGCAGATAAATGTCTCTGGCTCAGAGCGCTGGTGCCAAACAGCACACACACCAGAAATTGCTGGACTGCCAATAATTGTTTCCTGCAAGGATACAAGATATACTTGGACATAACATACCACTGGGGTTTCCTCCTCGAGTACTGGGTGTCTCAGTCAGGCCAGGAGAACAGGAAACCTCCTCCTTTGCTGCAAGTGAGGGTGGCATCCAAGCCGGCAGTGCCCGTTTCAGTCCAGAAGACCTGGTCAGGGAGAAAGCCGTGATGACAGAGGCAATGAGCCAAACTTCCAGTTTCTCTGCTCCTTTGCATGACCCAAGGGAGCTCAGAACTTGAGCTGCTGGATGCCTTGTGACCGCTCTGGAGGAATCCCCTGGAGAAGGTCTGTGCACCTTTCATCTCCTGGCCCACCTTCTCTGCCAGCAGAATCAGCCCCTGGGTAAAGTAGTGTCTTCCAGTTCAAAATCTCTTCTTCTAGAGCTTTTGACCTTCCTCTCCTGTCACGCTGCATGACTCTGCCCTTTACCCCTTACTCTCCACATTTAGCCTGGGATGTTTTTTGCTCAGGGCTGCACCATGGGCCAGATCTATTCCGAAGCTGGAGGGAGGACAGCCCGTGGCTCTTACTGCCGTTAATGATTAAGGAGACCTCAGGAAAAGTTTTTGAGGGCGTTGCTTTGCCTTGTAGCAAACCCAGGGCACCAGCTCCTTTAAGACACTGGAAACTGCCTGCCCGTAGCCCTCAGCTCCCACATTGCTTTGGGCAAGCCTGCATACCGGTGTCTGAGGGGTTGTGCTCAGGGGAGGCAATCTCCCCACTTCCTACCAGGCCGGCTCAGGGGGGCTCACGGCCGCTGCAAGCTGCTGGTTCTTTGCCCACTGCCTGGCCCTTGGGCCCCTGTCAGCACATATTCAGGAATCAGTGCCATCCAGACCACGTCCTTTCTGTGCTCTCTCCTGTATTCGTGTTTGCCTGGGGCTGTGGTGTTACTGTTTTTCCTCCCTGCCCTGGCTGAGATCCTCTAGCTCGCTGAGGTCTGAGTAGTGGAATAACAGATTGTCGTTTCCATCAGGGTTGCAAACTGGCTCAGAGAGGTGAAAAGGCAATCAGTGCATTATCTGCCAGCAGCCCTGCAGAGGAGATGGGTGGATGCATGCAGCTTCACCAGCACCACCAGCCACCTTTGTGGGGGCGGCAAGAACCGGAGCTGGGGAGCGGGATGCAGATTTGCAGCTGTGTTCGGGCCTGGCTCTGAGCCTCCCGACTCAGGCTCCTGCCCCTGGGCAGCGGCGCACAGCAGGGTGCAAGGCTGGTGCTGGCAGGCAGGGAAGGGGACGATCCCTATTGCAGAGCCATTGGCTCGCCGTTGTCCTCCCGCTGACCTCGGTGGGTGCATGCCGCAGTCCATGCGGACGTGCTGGGCATTGGTCCTGCCCATGTGCGTGGACTGCCATGCAGAAATATAGCCTGGGCTTGCCTCAGGCCAGAGTCCCCAGGAGCTCCTGCAGTGCCTGTGTGAAGCCGGCCCCCAAGGAACGGGCTGCAAGCACCACTGGCTGGCCTGGCTCCAGAGGCTGCGTGCTCGCCTTCCCCCAGGAGCTGGAGATTTCTCCACTTCCTCCCCCACAACGAAGGCGTGAAGCCGAAGGGACGAACTGGAGAGAAATACAGCTGATGCTTGAGGGATGTCTCCAGGGAAGGTGTCCAAGCCGGTTTGGCCACAGCCAGCATGGAAAGCTTTGGGGTGGGGACAAGAGGAGGACGCTGGTCTCTGCACGTCTGGGTGACATAGGGAGCCCAGCAGGATCTGGGTCATGGACAGGGCTGTGCCAACCGCTTTCTTGTGGGAGAGCAGTCCCAGTGCTGTCGAGACATCACGGGATGCATAGCTCTGCCCCAGTGCTGAGAGCAGATTTCTCTCCCGTTTGTGCTCCTGGGGAACACGGGCAGATGGGGAAGGAGATCTCCGAGGAAAATGCCTCCCCCGAGAAACACAGCGTCTGTTATTCAGATCTGCTAGTTCTTCTCCAGAGTTGCAGTGAATTCAGTGTTGTCTTCTGCCGAGCTAGCTTGGTGGCAGCAAATAACACTTTGGGGCACAGTCTCAGCCCGTGTAAACCTGTGCATCCCCGTTGCGTGCCTGGGTGCAGGTAGGGACGCAGGGCTGAGCTCCCGGCAGGAGTGCAAAGGGTCTTCTGCAGGTGCCTACATTGGGAGAACTTTGGTTTTGCTCGCAGAGCAGATCTCCAGGTGGATGACGGCCCCAAACGGCCAGGCTGAAAGTCCCCAGCAGGACAAGCCCTAGTGGGGATGAGCTTCCCCCTCTGACGGGCTGATTCCTGATTCAACAGCCTGACCTCTGACACTCTCCAGCAGATTTGAGCGCTCATAGACTTTTTTCTGCTGTAGCTGAATCAGCAGAGGGAGACAGAGGCCCAGCTGGACCGGGAGCACCGCTCTCTAACCATAGACTGCCCTCGGCTGTGTCAGCCACAGAGCAATGGCTAGAGAAGGCTGGCAGAAAATGCAGCACTTCTCTGCCCTCCAAACTTCCCTCTTGGATCTTGAGAATAGATGGAGCTGGAGGGGTGCAGAGAAAGAGCTGTGGCCCAGACTCATGCTCGTTTCCTTTCCTATTAATTGTGGTATTGAGGTGCAAAGGTTAGGCTGTCCAGAGACAAACCTAAACCGAACAAAATTCGGTATGAACCTGGCTTCGTGCACTCTGAAGAGCAAAGAAAACAGAAAATGCATTTCCCAGAAATAGGACACTTGCACAAAGTTCACGCGCTTGCTTGCCACTGGCCGTGCTTGTATGCTGGCAGGCAGCAGAGCTGGGCCCTTGATTAGCAGCTCAGCAGCCTTTCTGCTGGCCCTTGCAGCTGGGGTCTCCATCCTGAATGATTCTGGCTTCTTGCATTTCACAGGTCCGCGCCATGAGGTTGTCATTCGTCGGCGAGATGGGCTGGGAGCTGCACGTGCCCAAGGCAGACTGCGTGAGAGTCTATCAGGCGGTGATGAAGGCGGGCGCCCAGCATGGCATTACCAACGCTGGCTACAGAGCCATTGACAGCCTCAGCATCGAGAAAGGTTTCTGGCTTTCCTTTCAGCAGCGTGTTGCTTTGCTTCCAGCCAAGGAACCGAGGGCTTTTTTCCCAGCTTGGAGGGTAGGGTAGTGTGACTGGCTGGATGTCTGGCAGCTAATGGCAGAAATGCAATTAGTTCCCCATTCTCCTTGCTGAGACCTTCCTAAATATGAGCTTCTCTTGAGGGCGCTTTGTCCTGGACCAAGTGAATCAAGAGCAATAGGTGTGTCCGAGAGGCAGGGTTGATATCTTATTCTCCTGATACTCTCACCAAGGGCTGGCTGCAGAGTAGGGACGGGCTGGGAGACCCACATTTGCCTCTTGTTCTCTGCAGGGTATAGACACTGGCACGCAGACCTTCGCTCTGATGATACCCCCCTCGAAGCAGGCTTGGCATTCACCTGCAAGCTCAAGTCTGGCATACCCTTCCTGGGACGGGAGGCTGTGGAAGCCCAGAAAGCCACCGGGATCTCCCGTCGCCTTGTCTGCTTTACCACTGACGAGTGAGTATCGCTGCCCTGGGCTCAGCACAACGCCGACGAAGTCAAACAACGGCTGCCCTCCGTGTCCAGCCAGGGACGAGCACCCAGACTTGCATTAAAGCAGATCCCCTCCCCACCCCTTGCACGGAGCTCTGTGGCAAATGCTCGCTGCAATTTTCCATGCTCTAATTATGTCTCTAATTTAAATCCCACCTCATATTCCCTGCCGGATATTTAGTGGAAGTTGGAAACTGTGCGACAGTGAGTGGGTTTGTCTCGTTTCAGCCAAAATAGCAAGAGGCTTTGCAAATCAGGCTAGAGGGGTTTTGCCAGTGCCTGAGATCGGCGTTGAAAGGTTAAGGGGCGGGAGGACCGCGAGGCAGTGCCCAGGCTCTGTCCGCGCTGGGAGGGGAGCAGTGGGAGCCTAGGCCGGCCCCGGGCACACCAGCCCAGCAGTGCTTCGGGCGCTAGGCTGGAGCCAGCGTGGCCAGCCTCGCTGCCTCCTCCAAACACTTTCCCTCTGCCTTGTAGAGTCTCGGCCCACCTGGGGCTTTCCTGACAGCTGCTCTGCTCTGGCCTTGCAGGAAGGTGCCGATGTTTGGCCTGGAGGCCATCTGGCGGGACGGTGAGGTGGTCGGCCACATCCGTCGGGCAGACTTTGGATTTGCCATCAACAAAACCATTGCATATGGCTACATCCACAACCCTGCTGGGGGACCAGTGAGTATAAAGACCTTGGTGCCCACAGCGGGCAAAGATGCGAGCTCTGCAGGCCATGCTGGTGGTTGAGGATCAGAGGGAAAGGGCTTGGCAGCTTCCCTGAGGAAGGATGCTCCGAGCCTGGGAGCAGCTGGGGAATCAGGGCTGGACCAGGTTCAAGGCTGATGAACAGAGAGGTGACACCCGAAAAAGTCCACATCCAACAGTAGGGAAGAAGGGACAGGGCTGGAACTGGCAGCGAAGGCAGCAAGCATTGCAGCAAGTTTGTGGGGAAGCTGTGCTTCCTTCTCCCTCTCCAAAGGTTTGCAGGGGGAGGTAGCGTAGGGTTTATTTTTAAAGCCATATGCCTAAGCACATTGCAAGCGCACTGTCAGCTGGGGAGCGAGACGGGGCAGGCCCCCCCGCCTCTCCCCGCCACAGTGCTTACTCGGCTTTTGACGGAGGAGCGAGACTCCAAGCCTGAGAGGTGCCAGCGTCTTAGCAGCAAGTGTCTTTCTCACCAGTGATCTCAAAGCTGTCATTTTGCATGGCCCCAGCACTGATCTTCAGCCCAACTGCAATCTCCATTGTTAATGGCATCTGAGTATTTAATCACAAAAATGAATTAACTGATGTTGTTGGGAGCAACTGCCCAATAGGAGCACATCAGTCTCTTAATTAACTCCAGGAGACTTCTAGATAGTAAATCAGATGCCTTCATTAACCAGCATGCTGTAAACTCAGAGGCAAGGGAACCTGCATGGGGACAGAGGGCAGTGGATGACATCCCGTGGGACTGCTCCTGTCACAAGTCAAAGACAGTGCATATGTTTGTGCTTTAATCCACTTGCTTGCCTTGACTTTTAATCCTGCGTCAGGGATTAATCCTTCGCCTCCTGTAATTAACCACTGAAAGCTTTCCCCCCATGGCCCCTTGCTTCCCAATCTCCTTCTGTCTCTGCTGGCGCTTCCCGGTGTAACGGGCACCCCTGGGCAGACAGAGGCCTGACCCCCGGAGCTTCGGCTCCGTGCTGCCAGCAGTGCCCGTGAGCTGCGAGGGGGAGCGGGTGGGTGATACAGGCCGAGCAGTAAATGCAGCGCAGCGGGGTGGACGAGTGCAGGAGGTCACACCTCGAGGGCCGCCCCAGCTCTGCGCTGTGCATTTTGCGCTTTGAAATTGCCAGTTCCTCCTTTGTGCCAGAGGGCTGGGAGCTCCATGGGTGGCTTTATACTTTTTGCTAGATTGTCACCTGCAGGGAAGAAAGAGTGGTGAGAAAACAGACAAGAAAGCCTTGTATGGTGCTTGCCCCCCAAATTGTTTGATATCCCACTTACTGCACCTCTTCTGGAGAAAGCAAGCTGCTTGCCGGGAGCCTCAGTACGGTGCAATGGCAAACTAATGCAGAAGGGATAGAGCAAAGGTCATAGGGATGTGGCACGGCTGGAGTGGTGGCTTTGTGGTGGCAGGCATATGTGGGGAGCTCGTTTTGCTGATGTCTGTGTCAGGTCCTTTCCCATCATGGACACCTCTGCTCTCAAAGTCGGGGGAGCAGCTGGCCGTGCAGGCGAGCGCTGGCTTGCTGCCTCCCCCCAAGACGAGTCTGCTCAGAGACTGCAGACGGATGTAGCTCGAGGGAGGAGGTGGCAGCCACCAGGCTCGACACTTGCACGGGGCTCAGAAGCTATGCATTTCTCTTTGGGAAGCTGTGTTGGGACGTGACGGCCAGGAGGCTTTTGGCAAGCAAGGTTTATGTTTTGGGGGAATGTCAAACTGTCCCTCTGGAGCAGGTGGATCCACCCTTGTGGCAAGGGGGATAGCAGCAGGGGATGGCAGCGCGTGGTGCATGAGGGTTAACCCCTTGAGCGCTGCTAGTTGGTGGCTCTGGACAACCTGGCTCAGCTCCAGGCTGGACATTGCAGCAGGGACTCCATTAAGTAACCCCATACTGGGCCCCTCATTAGGATGAACGTTTCTCTTCTGTACACCTGGGTTTTTTTCCACCTTTTCCACCCTCTTCCCTGTGACATCTTGCTCCTCCGTGCTCCTGGCCTGCCCCACCTGCCTCCAGCTGGTCCTGGGAAGCATGAGGGAGCAGCAGGATGGAAGTGGTGCAGGTACAGGCCCCTCCTGCCTCCGGAGAGGCGCAGTGGCAGGCAAATAAGTGTTCAGCGTGTCCCCGCCAGGCAGATTGATTGCACTGCTCTCCCTATTCAAACACCCACTGCAAGGAAAGCTGGAATGCGGCAGCAGCACCAGCGGGGCTGGCAGGAGGCAGCTGCCTCCCGCGCCCTCAAGGGCCTTTCAGGTGGCGTTAACCCCAAATTAAAGCATTCGGGGCTGCCAAATGGCAAGACGCCGCGTACGGGTGGTCCCGCAGATGGGCCCCCGACCTTGTCGGCTTCCTTTGTGTGGCGGGCGGCTGCCTTCGCTCGCAGCACCGGCTCGCTGCCTCCTGCAGAAAGGCATAGTTCATTAAGCAGATGTTAATGCACAGCCTTAATCTCTCCGCTCCATATGATAACTCCCGCTTGATTTACACAGTAATTGCCGCTGCAGGAGAAGAAAGGGGGAAGCTTTGCGTATGTGCTCTGAGCTCCTGGGCATGGTGAGGGGAAGCAGCTCGGGGAGCTGCTGGCAGGGACATCAGCACTGGGACTCTGCTCTCCCAGTCCCCACGCCAGCCCAGACCCTCAGAGGAGGGTATGCAAGGTGGCAAAGCACGTATTGCCTCCCAGTTGCCCTGTGGTCCGGGCCCCGGTGCTGCTGCAGTGCCAGGTGAGGTCTGTGAGTCTTTCTTCCCTGGAAGTGGCTCTGCACACTGCCGGGGAGAGCAGTGGTGCTCCCAGCTCTCCAGGGCCGGGGAAGGCGAGGACAGCTCCGTAGCATTGTGGCTAAAGAGCAGAAGGAGCAGAAGAGATGCAAAAGGGTCATGGAGAAGTAAGGAGAGGAAGCCACAACTCTGCTGCTGACAATTTGCAGTTATTAAAAAGCACCGAGCACCTATACCCCCTGGTCCCCGGGCTCACAGTGGCCGAGTGGCACAGCTCAGGGGAGCCGGGGGGATGAGCTCCCATTCCTGTCCTGGCTCCTCTGGAGACAAACCCCTGCTGCCAGTTTTAAGAGCACCATGCTTTAGATGCTGTTGAAAAAAATCCACAGCAAATGCCTCCCCCAACAATTAAACACTGGATTTTTTTTTTGCTTGATGCTTTTAAAATCTCCTTTCCTCCTCTCTGTGCATCCTCCTGGGATGGCAGAACCAGTTCTTCTGCAGAAAGTGCTTCTGCAGGGTCATGTGGAAGCTTGCCGTGCTATCCCGGCCGCAGGGCAGGCCCCATGCCTTGCCCTCCCTCTTCTCCACAGCCTCCTCCAAAAGCACCAGCAATTGGGGCCAGGACACGGGGCTGGGGGCTGGCGTCGGCCGCGTGCCCGGCAGCACAGGAGCCCTGGTGTCTGTGCCCCCCGTGCTGTCCCTGGTGGGGCACTCGTGGCCCCATTCGGTGGTGCCCAGCATGGTGCGACAGCCCCTCACCACTCTGCCTTGCAGGTCTCGCTGGATTTTGTGAAGAGCGGCAGCTACGAGCTGGAGCGGATGGGAGTTACCTACCCGGCCCAAGCGCACACCAAGTCCCCATTCGATCCGGACAACAAGCGAGTGAGGGGCATATACTGAGCCACTGGCGGCGGGGGCGTGGCCGCAAGGCGAGCTGATGCTGACGGCAATGGGATGGGGAGAGGGAAAAGGCCATTGATAGCGAACGGTGAAATTCCCAGGTCCCTGGGTGACCCAGCAGGCTCCCGGGGCTGCTGGGAGAACTGGCAAACCTGCAGTCTGCAGGGAACTCATCAAGCAAATTTGGGTCAAAATAAAGGGGAAGAAGGAAAAGTCTAAAGATTTTGTTTCTGTATTTTCTAAATGAAGCAGTATCACTATGGCAATAATTCTTTTTCATGGCTTAATTGACTTGAAAATGTTTTTTTCTTGACTGCAAATGAAGTGTTTTCAATTTTTGACTTTGCTGGAAACCCTTTCCCCCCGAATGTAGTTTCACACTGCCTGGAAAATGAATTTTTTAATTAACTATCTACCATTAATACAGCTATAGCCTCCAAACCTGCTCTCCCCCAGGCCCTTGCTGTGCCTCCGTCCCGCTCGGACGGGTGCTGCATCCTCTGCGGCTCTGCCCTGGCGTGTTGGAGGTGGGACCGTGCGCTGGGTGCCGCCGGCTCCTCGGGGATACCTGCCACCCGAACAGGGCTGCGCGGGACCCCGGCTGCCGTGGGGCCCGGCTGGGGGGACTCCCCGGGCGATCCGCCGCTTTGGG